CACTTTCTAAATGGTATCATCTCCCACTATACTTTATGTTATTGCACGGCAAATGCTTTTTGTTTTATCTTCCCAAGTTCAGCACCTACCACAGTGTCTGGATATGGAATAGTTCAATTAATGCTACCAAGGAAGAATATATATGCCTACTTTTGCTCAATGTGTGGTATTTATAGTCATGATGCAGTGACTGCTATCTTATCTGCTTCTTTTTTTTCCATTATTCTTTCAATTCTGGACTAATATTATTTCATCAGAAACCTTTGTATAGGCAGGCACTGAAAGGAAATATTTACAGATTCACTAAAACTGGTATTTAATAACAAAATGTCATTGTTAACTTGTGTACTTATCAGCTAGAGAAACAGAACTAGTAAAAGAAGATAAAAAGAAGTTTTTTTTGTGTGTGTGTATTGGTTTTTATAACAAGGAAACAACTTGTGTGATTTTGGGAAATGGTTAGGCAAGTCCAAAATATGTAGAGCTGACTATCAGGTAAGAGCAGGAGGGAACTTTGACAAGGGTGGGATTGCTATCTTCAGGAAGTCTCAACTCTGCTTTAAGCCTTTTTTAACTGATTGACTCAGACTTATCCAGATTACCTAGAATAATATCACTTAAAGCTGATAGACTATGAACTTTACATGTAGAGAAGATACTGTCACAGCAACACTTGGGTTAGTGTTCGAATAATAGGGGCTTGTAACCTAGCCAAGTTGACATATAAAAAACAAAAACAAAAAATATCAACCAGTTATGGTGGCATATACTTGTAGTCCCAGCTACTCAGGAGGCTGAGGCAGGAGGTTCACTTGAGCCCAGGACTTTGAGGGGTAGTGCATTGGTGCATTGTGATTGCACCTGTGAATAGCCACAAAACTCCAGCTTAGGCAAATAATAAGACACCATCTCTTAAAGAAAAACAGTTATAAATAATATATCCTAATATTTTTTAAGCACTTGCCATTTTCATGACGTTATACTAAGCACTTTATACTCATTAATTCATTTAATTGTCACCACAATCCAAGTGCAAGATTGTTATGCGTAATTTACTTGTGGGAAAACACTGCAAAACACTCATTCTCCAGTGGAACGATAGGAAAACTGTTGTTGTAAGTCATTTTGAAGGACAGAGCTTAGAACCCAAAGTATTTTTATGAGTCAAAATTGTGATATGTTCTGATATGTAATTTTTAAGAAGTTTTTTCTTTAGGTTATTAACAATTTCTATGCAGTTCCTTCACATCTTAAAAAAATCTCACATGGTGTTAGCCTTAAATAATATGGTTGTAGAAAATACAGCCTTAAATAATATGGTTATACAAGCAAACTGCTTGATAGTTTCACAGTTTTTCTTAGAATAAAGAATTCAAATGTATGTATATTATTGAATACAAACAATTGAAAAAGATAAACTGTTACACTATTACCTCAGAGCACTTGATATGTTTAAATGAGAATCAGCATAAAGTATGCTCAATAGCATGAGGACTAGTGACAAGTAGAATTCTAGTTTTTGTATACTCAAGCTGTGTGACCGTGAACAGTGCAATGAGAGTAATAACACTTATGCCTTAGAAATTTTCTGAAAGGTACAAACAATATAGTAAGAGTAAATGCATAGTTAGTGCAGAATTGTGTTTGTCTTGTTATTTAAATGGTTGTTAAATAATTGACTCTTTTGCTAGGTTAAGCTTTACCAGTGGGTTGTTACATGATTGATACGTGGATCCTGAATATTTGGAACAGAACAAGGAAAAATGAACACTATACCAAGTCAATATATTGCTTTTTAATGATTTAACATTGATGTTAAGAATTAAAAATAAAACAATGATAGAGATTCAGTAATTAAATAAAGTTATTTTGATATAGCTAAACTGGAGAAAAGGAGTAATTTTAAATTTTACTGTTTTGATTTTGCATCTCAGTTTATTATGAATCTGAAAGAAACATTTTAGAGAATACATCAGTAGTAGAAAGTCATTTTCTGTAATAGCATAGTTTTTGTGGTGTAATAAAAAGTTACATGACATGGTGAGACTACGTCATTTTAAAGCTAAAAATGATTTCTACTCTGCCCTAAGATACGCAGATTTCTGACTGAGTGGTCCCTGGAAGGCTTGTTCATTTTGATGTTTATATATTTATAACTCTCTAGAAAGAAGTAAGACTAGTCCTTAGAACCGAGATTTAGGATAAGCAATTTCTGTAGTTATCAAATATTGTTTTATTTTGAAACCCCTATTTGTATAATTAAACATCTGGTTATTAGGCCTGAATCATCCTTTTCTTATTAACTGATAGTTGCTAACAACCGACTTCTACTAGGTACAGTTCCAGTAGTTGTTTTGTGACCCTGATCTTGGCCAAAAGGCCTTATCTGTCTAGAAAGAAATGGGGACTTTTATTTTCCAGTTAGCCTTGCTCTGACATTCTCTAGGACAGAAGCCTAATATGGAATATTCTGCACTTCATGCAATACATTAACAACAAAAATTCTTTTCACCGAAGAGCAAATTTAGCATATAGGTTTTTACATTGTTGCCTCAAACTGTTATTTATATCTGTGGTTGGAAATAATCATGAAAAATGTATTATTGATTTTTTTCAACCCATGGATGCTGCAAATCTATTTGAATATGGAATGGCTTGACACTGTCTCATGTTTTGTATGTTACATTATGTTATAATTGTCTGCTGTTCCATAATTTGCCATTGTAAAATTTATAAGTGCATAAAATTTTTATATATTATTAAAATTAGTTTTATAAGTACAATTAGATAATAGAGAAATTAAAAGTTGAGTGTTTCTCTTTGTTGCATTCTGTTTTTCCTTAAAGGTACAGTTTTTCCTGTCATTAGTGTTCAGCTTGAATAGTGAACCATTAGAGTGTGATGTGATTTGGAAAGTACAAAAATTATCCTTGTCTCAAACTAGTGTTCCTACAATCTTGGCTGTGCCTAAATTTGTCACTCTGATTAAATCACTTACATTAAAAATTAAAAACCCATACAAATATGTAAATATATTAATTTGAGAAAAATCTATGAAATGAGTCTCTAACAATTTTAAAACAACCAACCACATTAGTCACTTACAATGCTTTCTGTAAAAGTGCTTTTTTGGGACTAGGGGAGAATTATTCCAAAAATGAAATGAGATTTAGTTTGATTAAATCAGCAAAATAGTTTTCCTGAAGGGATTTCAATAAGTTCCACTGTTTTGAGGCCATTGTCAGTATTCTACTTGGTTTTATGATTATATTTTAACATTTTGTTTTTAATTTTTTTAAGAAAAGTAAATCTCGTGTTGTCAAATAACCTAGACTTTAACTCATGTATTAGTTTTGATACATTAATATTTAGTATCCAAATAACTTACTGATTTTTGAGTTTTAATTGAAAATATGTCATTATTTCAATTGGGCCATTAATTTTTATATTATTTTAGTATATTATTTGTTTAAAAAATATTCTATGTTATTGAATATTTAGTGTAATGTAACTATGAATGTAGTATTCCTCCTTAAATTTGAGATTTAAATTAGAGCTTAAATACAGATTGTGTAGTTATACCTATTTTTGTTTCTAACCTTGATGATTTTGTTTTATGAATTAATAATTTTTCAAACTAATTTGGCCTTTGAAACTAGTACTTTTTATTATTTATTGATTATATATTTTTGTTTATTGAATTTGTCTGAAGTTTTTCTCTTAATTTGTCAATGTTGTTTTTCTAACAGCCTAGATGAATAATTTAGTTACTTTTTTCTACTCTTTTGGCTTTAAAAACATTCTACCTTTGTTTTTCTAGTAATTTAAGGGTTTGTTACATTTTACTTAAAGGCCAGTTTTGGAATTCATCACAAATACTTTTTATGGTGTGTAAACAATCTTTCTAGATCTTGAGAAAAATGTGCATTCTCGTATTTTATATAATTCGATATGTTTAGCAAACCATATTAAATGCTCTTACTTTACTTCTTTTTTTTTTTAAAAGAAATTTCTACTTAATTTGACAAATGTGAAAAAATGTGGATTATAGTATTCCATAAAAATTGTATATTGATTTCTTTTATATCTCTAACATTTAAAAAATGTATTCGTTTCCTTGTTAATGAAGTACAAGGTAGAGAGGCTTTTGTTGGCTAACAATTTTGATTCTCACTTTATTTCCATTGATTTTTATATGGTAATTTCCTTTCAGAGTCTAGCAAAAATTTAACTATTTGTGTCAGGAATAGTTAAATTTTTCTATGTCTTAAATAGGAATTTGTAAGATGTTACATCAGAGATGTTAAATAAATATGATTTTAAAACAGGTTTCCCTGGTTCCTACTAATGTCCATATTCTTTTGTACAATGCTCTAGGCCAATACAAGTTTATGATCTTTTCTCAAAAAGCAAATGGTTAAGCCACACAACTTTGGAAGTCTTTATAAAGTGAACTTATTTTTTAATCTGCATCATTCAGGGTCTATTGTAACGGCAAATGCAATGTTTTTCCTCAGTTAGTAATGTTTATATTATTCTCTAAACTCATATGTTAACCAAATTGCTCTACAAAGTAGTTTATACTATGGCCATTGCGATACAAGATTCTGTTTTACTTTTTAAGTGTGGATGTTGGTTTTGCAGAATATCTTTTGTCAAAACATAGTGATCACATAAATATCCACTACTCTATAACCCTCAGAAAGGGTTCATTTAACTGTATATGTATACCTTTTGCACTTTTCATTCTTTGATGAAAAGCGTTTTTAGATATTGTTGGCAATATCTTTTCCACCCCGGGCTTTAAAAAAGAAAAATTACCCAAGGTTATATAACTAGTGAGTGAAAAGACTTAGAGTAAAAACTATTTAAAGATAATTTAATAATTAATATTTTGGTAGAATTAGACCTTTTATTAGAGTAAATATAGAAAGGAGAAAAAGAAGTGAGAATAGTTGATAAATATTTTGACGTTTACAAGACTTTGGTTTTTTGAACAGTTTGCCGGGAGGATTCATATCACTCTGTCGTCTCATGTGCTGCTGTAGTTCTTGCTCCTATGGAACCAACAATGGAAATGAAGAAAAGAGAAGAACCAAAATTTCCTGAGCCTTCCAAACAGTGAGTTGTTCATTTAATTTTTCAAGGTCTTATAAAATCAATTAGATAACTGATCAGAAAATGTGATTCATAATAAATGTGTTAATATTAGTATAAAGAAAGAACAAATAAAATTTGTACATTAAAAAATAATTTATTCCATATTATCTCAATGAATAACTTCTGTGTCTTCTAACTTCATGTGTTTGAACCATGTGCCATTGAAGTTTCATTTTGTTACCTTATCTTAAGGACATGGGCAAGTAGGCTGATGTACTTTATTTCCCTACTCTGGGATTGTGAATACCCTTTCTTGGATTGCTTACTATACAGCTGTAGGCTTTGATGATATACAATGAAATCAATTTTTACTATAAAGTTTTTATTTTAAAGTTGGTTTGCATTTTTATAAGGAATGTAAGTTATTATTTTAAAATATTTTTTATTAAGTTAGAACAAATTTATACTGTTTAGTGTTTTTATATTTTTCCATTTAAACAGTTCAAGCTTTCATTTAAATGTAAATTTAATCTTCTATTACATAAATGATAAACTTGTACTCTTATAATGACCAAAGAGACTTTTAAGTTTATGATGATAAAACTAAGCTTATGTGGACATCAAATACTAACTAAATGGGGATTATTTATACTTCTACATTAAATACATGACCAGAAAAAACATGCCTCCTTTAAGGTTTCAGCTTAGCGATTAGGTGATATAAGATGCTGCCAAGGATTTTAGGCTGACTGTCATAGGAGTGAGGCAGAAGATATCTTGATATACCTACTATTTTCTTCCATTGGATTACACTGTATTATACTTAACTTGCTTCTTGTATGTCTTTCTACTGAGTAATAAGCTCTTAAAGCATAATTGTGTTTGATACTGTTTGTGAATAGAGCAATATATTGATTGCATGAAGATATTCACTATTAATATTCTCATTATGGAGGGAAGAAACACTGACCAATTTAGAAAATAATGATTGTAATTTAGTTTTAATACAATCCCAAAGTGAAATAATTTAACTGCTCTTCATATGGTCTTAGTTTTTAAATTCCAAAAGCCATTTTTGTCTAATAGAAAATTGCATCACGTTTGCCAATTGAATTATTTAGAAAGCTCAAATGTGTTTTCCTGCAAAACACACACACACACGTGCACACACACACACACACACACACACACACACACCCCTTTCCTTGCTTGTTAATTAGGGTGATATCAGCACCCTCATTGTTAGTATTATGTGAAATGATACTGAGAAGGGACCTGAAATCTAATAATCCATGCAGTTCTAGTTATGTTGCCCCTTTCATAGCTTCAGCTATCAACATTATGGGTGACATTTGGTTATCTATTCTTTTCAGGAAGGCTCTTCTGAATGCAAATCTAATAAAGTTGTTGATCACACTTGTCTAACTAGGCATCCTACTCAGTTGTCATGCAGGATAAATATCCCTTATCCAAAATGCTTAGGACCAGAAGTGTTTTAGATTTCAGAATTTGAGCATCCCAAATCCCAAAATCTGAAATTTGAAATGAAACAACAAGCATTTCCTTGATCGTCAAGTTAACACACAAAAAGTTTCAGATTTTGGAACATTTGGATTGTGGATTTTAGAGTTTGGGATATTTAACCTGTAATAAATATATGTCTGAAGCCAGATTAATAATCTCTTCTAAATTCTTTTTAACTTTTCAAGTTGTTCCATATTTAAATAAAACTATCATCATTTTACTTTTCTTAAAATCTTGGTACATTTTCTTCCTCACATCTCATATTCAATCAGTTATCAATTACTTGATTAATTTCTTCATTATATTTTATTATTTCAGCTGACTTGGAAGGTGTATATATCCCACATTTTAATTTTTCCTAAAATATATCTTCATTTGTGATCTTAATGATGCCATCTATCAAATGGAAATTGTTTATGTCCTATATACCTCAAACTATTATTTTGAGAATTAAAAGACAAGTGTTAATATATGACAAGAACACAGTATTAATGCAAAGAGTGATTAACTCAAAATTCTCATTTGCCAGTGAGAGAAGCCAAATGCTAACTAGTTTCAGCCAAAAGACTCAAGAGTGGTGGTGGTTATTGGCTCATGCAATTTAAAAAGTACAAAGGTAGCAGTTTGTTCAGTACAGTTTTGGTTCTCAAATGATAACATCAAGGATCTTTCTCTTTTATCTGGGGTTTCCACTTTCTGGGAGGTTCCTCTAGTGGTGATATAGCTGCCTTCAGCAGCAACTGGGATTGATTTTCATTTACTCTACAAATCCAGTGAAAGCAGATAATTTCTCATTCCCTTTAATCAAAACAAAACAAAACAAAAAAACAAACCAGATTTGAGTGTCGTTGGATTGGCTTTGACTAGCTTAGCTTGTTTGACACAGCGATTTTGAAACAATTGCTATATCCAAAACTATTTAATGGAGATTGAGTAATTAGTTGATGTTTCATGAGAATGAAATTGAGAGGGGAAAGGTGATTCCACAATTGAGATGTTGTTGATATTGATAAAAGAAGGCAGAGATAGATGAGGTGTCAAAATAATGAATGTTCAATACAGGTAATAATATTATCACCATTAATTTTAAAAGTCAGAATTCTATAAACATTGAAATACTAAAATAAAATATGTATGTATCTTTATCTTTTATTTTAAATGATTTTTTACTTATTTAATTCTATTTTGTTATTTCTTCTGGCTGTGCTATTGAGAGGCAGTATAACTCAGTGGTTAGGAATCCAGGCCTTGGGCAAATTCTTTTTTTTTTCCCCCAATTTTCTTAACCCCTGGGCACTGTGGCTTGCACCTGTAGTCCCAGATACTCACAATGCTGAGGCAGAAGGACCACTTGAGCCCAGGAGTTTGAGGCTGCAGAGAGCTGTGACTGTGCCACTGCCTTACTCCAGCCTGGGCAACAAAGCCAGACTCTGTCTCTAAAAGAAATAATAAATAAATAAAACTTCTTAACCTTAGTTGGTGTGTTTCTTTTTAATGTGGGAGATACTTTACCTCATAATGCAATGCCTGAAACATAATAGGGATGCAAGAACATCTAAATTTTGTAATTTTTTTTACAACAAATATATTTGTCAAATAACCACACCAGCTTTTTATAAATGGAGTTACTAAAGCCCTGTAAGATATTAGTTTTGTGTATTTTGGATTTCCCATCATAAAAAACATAGTAGATAGGGCCGGGTGCGGTGACTCATACCTGTAATCCCAGCACTTTGGGAGGCCAAAGTGGGAGGATCACTTGAGGTCAGGAGTTCGAGACCTCGAACTTGTCAGCCTGGCAAACATGGTGAAACCCCATCTCTCCTAAAAATACAAAAAAATTAGCCATGCATGGTGGCAGGCATCTGTAATTCCAGCTACTTGGGAAGCTGAGGCAGGAGAATGGCTTGGACCTGGGAGGCAGAGGCTGTAGTGAACTGAGACTGTGCCACTGTACTCCAGTCTGGGTGTCTGGGCAACAAGAGCAAAACTCCTCCTGGAAGAAAAAAAAAAAAAAGTTGAGACATTGTCTTTGGGCAACTAATATTTCCTTTTAATTTAGGATGGCATTACTTCTTTAAGTAAATCTTTTTGAATTTTTGGCATTCACATATAAATTCTTAAATCATTGAGTCTTTGAAATATAGGATTCACAGAGTCATCTAATTCAGAACCCAGTAGATGTGTTACTAAGAATAACTGGAATAGTCATCTCAGAATATGTAAGACTGTACATAAGAGAATATGTAATATATAACTACATCATTTCAGAAGGTAAGAAACATTTTATGATTGGGATATTTGTATTATCTAACCAACTTTTAGTTATATTCTAATGAAAAATATTTTAATTTTGACAATTTGTTATTAAATATTCTCAAGTATTTATTAGTTTTTAGACATTTCATAAGGAGAAATAAGAATTAGAAATTTCTACTAAAAATGAAGTATACATTTTTCAGCAGAGGAAGTGATAGGGAGAAAGTACCTAAATCTTTTAAGAAAGAAAGCTACATTGCACATTACAGCAGAAGAGGACCAGAGCTTTCTACCTACTTGTTGCAATACCTAAAATTCATCTTAATTCAGGGAAACAAAGGTGGGGATTCTACTTCACTTCTGAGTTTAGTTTGATATGTAACTAAGAATACTGTGGAAAGGATAAACTGGCTGGAAAATAGAATAGTCTATGTAATCCAAAAAGAGTGTACAATTTTCAAATCTTTAATCATAAGAATAGAATGCTGGGTTCAAAGCTTTGAGTGTGACTGTTTACAACAGCCAAGTCGTGGAATCAACCTAAGTGCCCATCAACAGATAGTTGGATTAAAAAAATGTGGTACATATAAAAAAGAGTGGAATCACGTTCTTTCAGCAACATGGATGGAGCTGGAGGTCATTATCCTAAGTGAAGTAACTCAGAAAATCAAATACCACATATCCATACTTATAATTGGGAGCTAAATAATGGACACACATGGACGTACAGGGGGGAATTACAAATTCATAAAAATCCAACTGTTATAAGTATCCCCAATTATCCAGCTACACTCAGCATGTTGCTCAAAACTGCATTTCTCAAGTCAGTTCTATGTAAATGAGCATTTTATAACATGTACATGAAACTCAAACTCTGAAGACAATGAAAGAATAACCATGATTGGCTTTGCATTATATTTTGTATTAATACTTTGCTAGAAGCATGCTTGTTGAAATGCAAATATTCTGTACATACCATAGCTCAATGTCTGAAATGAAGGGATTTTTATGGCCATTGTAAGGTTAGAAATGCGGAGGCAAAAGAAAAAATTATTCTATTACTTCTTTGTCCACTTCCACGTTTTTTTTTATTACTTTATATAAATAAATCTTGTGTTAGGAAGAGATTTGATTGTTCACCCTTGCATAGTTAAAGCATTACTTAAATACTCCAACTTTCAAGACCTCTTTGTAGTGTTTCAGTTTCTTGTCATGAAGAACGTACAATAAGCTCCTTC